TATAGCATCAGAAACAGCAGCAGCTTACCCTCGAAACAGTCACCGCAAAGCAGAACTGACGGAATCTTCTTCTAGTACTTTTTCCCTTTTAAAGTACTTACATTCGTAACCGTTCTGTAGTCCATGAATCATGAAGTAGTAATTAAAGTAGTGAAAGGTTCTTCCCTATAGTCATTAGGCAAATGTGTTTTTAATTTTTTTTCGTTCGGTATATCTTAGCTCACAGGGCGCAAGGTATGGCCCACCACAGTTTCCGTATCCTTTGGCTGGGAATTTACGCCTTTTCTTCACCTGGTTATAAGTGTTTACTACTTACCGAGTCAAGTCGCTCAGGTCAGGTTCATCGCTACATTGAATGCTTGACTATTTAATAATTAGTAAAAAATTACGTTTCATAAAATTAGCCAAAAACGAAAAACAAAATCATATAACAAAGTTTATAATAAATAAACAAATAAGTCAGTCAATTGAATAAATATAAAAAATCTAATAAACTACTCAAGTATTTTGCAGTGAAAAACACCATTATGAATGACATCGATTAGTAGCACCGTTGCTCAGCAAACCTCCCGCACTGTCGATCACAGCTGGATTTGCAAAAAGACGAATCAAGCTTGAGGTTGTTGTAAAATGAAATTATTAAGCGAGTTCAAAGTCGAAAAAATAGCAAACGGGAAGATGCAATATCCCCGGAGTTATTCATGGCAGCTCTGGAATGTGTTTGCGAGATGCTCCTTTGGAATAATCAAGGACTGGACATAAATGGTCACTGCTGAAACCACCAGAGGGTTGTGGATGACATTTGGATCCTTCGCAGGGCACCAGAACAACTTCAAAGAATAATAAAAACATTTAACCGTGTGACCCTGCTTAAGTCGACGGACTTCAGCTTGAACAGGTGCAAAACGACGTCAGTCTCGGACAGCTAATGTCTGCAACAAAAAACCCACTGTGTAAGATCGACAGAAGAATGAAATGGCTTGGAGCACTTTTGGAAAGTTGGAAATGTTCTAATCCGGAAACATACGTTTCCAATCGGTGTGTGCTCGTACTGCAAAACGTGAATGCAGCATTGAAAAGCTCATGTTTGGAGTAGCAAGAAAAAATAGGAGGACAAACGAATGTCTAAGAGCACATATAGGAGTGAAGAAGTCGAAGTGAGAATGGGTAGGAGACGTTGCAAGAAGAATCAACCGCAGCTGGATCAGAGAGATTTTGGACTGTGTTCCAAGAGAGAGTAAACAATGCATAGGGAAACCTCCAGATGAACGCACAGAGGGATGAGCTGAACGTGTTCATTGGATCAGGATGGATAAGGATCATAGGAAACAAATGTCTATAGCAATGTCTTGGAGAGGCTATGATCTACCAGGCAATCAGGGTCGAAAAAGGTTTATCATAACGATAACTTGACATGACAACATATTGGACTTTTTAGCGACGCAATCACCACTAAAACTACCAAACTGGTGAAACTTCAGGTGCTCTACATCTCCGCAACAGGGAGTGGCCTGTGTTTATGCTGTAGCTGAATTGCCAAAGAAAACCTGGGTGCACTTGCCGCGACGATGGCATTCTAAAAGTAACGTTGTCACGGCGATGACCTTTCATCTGATACGGTAGGGGAACGACAGACAACTGTGTAACATATCAGCGTTGACGCTTTATGGTCGATCCATTTTTTCAGAGAGCCAAGGTACTCTCTCAAGGACACCATTTATATCTACAGCAAGATGCCTATCGCAGATTACACTAAAGTAACGCCAATGACATGCTCTCTACCGGTGGTACAGATCGATCGAAAGCGGCAGAGGAAATGTCGATGAAACTGCCATCCATATTTTGAGTTGGTAAATCAGCGCTTTGGCGATTTGAGGTCATGGACATGCAGATAGGACGCTGGCTGTCCAATGGCCAATACCAAATATAATAATGGCATGATAATCCGTCAATATCGGCATTAATATGATGGTATGATGGTTGATACGAAAGCTATTCGAAGCGTTACTGCACCGGCATTTGTTCAAAGTATCCTATCGCCTGATTGACCCGCAAGATGCAAGGTGCATCCCCTGTACTAACTACCTTCCTTCATCTTCCTTTGCAGATACGATACGAGTCTAAATGGGAAAAGGAAACGAATTTGTTCCTGAAGAAAAATAAATATACGAGCCAATAATGTAATAAGCTTATCTGTACTCAATAAATATGTGCTCCATGTGCCACGCGTCCAGTCGTGGACTTCCCCGGCAGCATCTTTCCGCAGTCACTCCGAAAAACGTTAGTCGGCACATCAACGGCGACGCCGGCGGTAAAATGATCATGTTTACGCAAGTGCAGCAGAAATTAAATATTATGACGCAAAGTGTAAACAGTAGCTCCAAGATAAATCGCTTGTTCAGACAATCAGGCAAACTTTCAAACACATTTATATTCGACTACTAATGTAGTACGAATGGCCAACTTTATCCGAGGCATTAACCTCTTTGTGGATTAGCTGAGGATTCATCTGAGAGGGGAAGGTTGCTTTCCATCAGCTGTTTCAGTGACCCTTCTATCATCTTATGATATCCATCAAATATGACGAGAAAACAAGTTAGATGACGCATCACGATAACACGGTTAGTGTCATCTTAAAAGCTATGGGCAGCATTTAGGTACGTTACTGCTGGAAGATGCTTCACCAGCCAGTAGGCATAGACGACCTTACGTCATTTTGCTAAGTTTTTTGCTCGCTACCGGTGGAAGCTACAGAGCCTTGTTTTTTGTGTCTTTCAGCGAAACGTAAAAAACATTGATTATTCGGTTAAGAGTACGTTAATAAGTTAAACTAATATTCGGATGCTTACAGCGGCTTCCAGTTAGTATGGACTCATGAAATGTCACTGGTGACAAGTACGGTATTGATGATCAGGTGAACGAACGACGTCAAAGTGTATTCGGCTTTTCAAGTGCTACGATATTACGCAGCGGCGGCTCACTTCGATTACCTCTAGGCATTTAGTAGTGGGAGGCGGTAAAATATGCCGGTAAATCAATCTTTGGAGGAGCGCTAAGTGCGCATCGACACATGCCGACGTATACGCCCACATTTTCAAGTTTCGTGAAAGCATGGGATGTGTACCGGCTGCAGTTGTTCACCGAACAGACGCCAAAAGCAGTGACGCATTATAAGTGCTAAGAAACTGGTAGGAAGTCGCAGCATGCCTCACTGGCTACCTGGGCCTCTAGTAGAACAGAGGCTCGGCGACGAAGCCGCTTATCAAGTCGGTTAAATAAGGTTTATATAAATAATAATTAAGCCAACTGTTGTCGGTTCCAAGTCCGGATGAAAAAACGAGGGTTAGGGAGCGAGACAAGGTGTCACGTGCAACTTAGCCACCGCTTAGACTCGGTCACTGTCCAAGTTACACCGAGGTTTGCAGGCCGCTGAGGGACTGAGGCGGATTACGAAAAGACGGCGATCAGAGCTGCTTCTCTGATCTGGACAAATCTGGGCGTTCTCTCACCGAGGAATCGCATGAAGACTCGCCTGAACAGCAGAAAACAACAGATCTTGGTTTTGCAATATTAAAAGAAGTAACTCTACAGAAGCTATATGAAGCTTGAATGGTGACGTTGCTGCTGCGATGCATAAAATAATCCGTTCCGAAATGCGTAGAGCTTTCGTCGGCGAACAAGACATGTTCTGGATGACATATGCTTGTCGAAC